TGAAGCAAAGATATTGGAAAAAATCTCAACGCAATCAGAGGGTATGTTTCAAAAGTTAAAGAATTTCACAAAATATTTTTTAAAGGAAGAATTCTTAAAGAACTGTCCAATCCTTTAAATCTCCTCACACAGAAAGCAAAGGCAAATAGAAGACAATGATGTAATCTATACAAATTTTATTCCCTTATATGTACATAATTAAAATAACTGGTAGTGATGGATTAAAATAGGAGAAACATTTCATTGTTGTATTGAAACCATTGACAAATTTACTGACAGTCACAATTATGGCCAATCGTCACTTTCGCTTGTAGATTCCATGTTGTGTGTGTCTATTCATTGATAGATCACAGATGAAGTCAAAATGTGGCCAGAAAAAAAAATAGCACACAAAGTGCAGCCAAGTAAGTCACTGATGTTCTTAGATTATTCTGAGACCCACAACAACATGAAATCTATTTGTTTTACAAGATATAAAGGCAGAATGTTGTTTTCGATGGCATTATCTGTACATCTGTCCTGCAATAGATCATGAGTACCAATCAAATTCCTTTCATAATTCAGCTCATCATATAAATATAAATTCATTGATATTAAAACAACACTAAAATATTCTCTTGAAGTAATCATAACTTAAACTTAGAGAAATAACAATCACAATCACAAGTTTGCATTGAAGTAACAACAATGGTAACTTTTATTACAAAAGACTGAGTTGGGAAAATATTGTAAAGTGAAATGTGTAGTGTACTTTTGACACAAGTATAGAATAACTAGGTTACACAGAATGCAACCATGATGATCAAATAATCATCAACCCAGGCAAAAAAATAATTAGTCACTTCCCTTCTACAAATCCTACACTAACACATACAGTTAAAACTATTAATTTCAAAACATTGCAACTAGATGATCCTTAGAGAAAAACTGTAGCTTCATCTGTTTTTTTTGCATGAGAATATTTTCCCAAATCCAGGACCATTTGTTTATAAGGGTTAGTAACCATGCATTAACATCTATTGAAAATTACTACAGGATCGTAAAATGAATTGAAGTTGAAGTCAGTTTTCATCAACAATACTCTTGTTTGGATTAATTCCTCTAAGGCAGCAACAAGATCTTGGATAAATCACTGTTCTTATCTTTTACTATTCATAATAGTTCTATGCAATGATCAAGTACTGCAGGAAAGGTTGATGGAAATTTCACACAATTATAGGTATAAATCATATACATAAAATAAACTACATGTAATACTTTCCCATTAAACCCAAAACCTATCTTCAATTTGTTACAAAAAGATAGCAAAATTCCCTTGCTACTATTTTACACTTCTCCAATGATTTGGCTTTCTGTAGTATGGATACAAAGTTCAGCCTAACATGGCTTAAAGTATATTCTAGTAAGGGGGGGAGGGGTGAGTGAGTGTGGAGAAAATATTTCACAATAGTATGCTTTGAAAGTGTGAAAGTATTATATCTGTTAAGCAGAAGTTCTAGAATTTCTAGGGCTGTGGTTAACTCAAATAATGACTTGATTTCCATTCTGTTGTATATACATAGCTATCTGCCAGAACTTACATGAATCTTTGCATAATTGTCTTGTGGAGATACCAAAACTTCCTCAGTTATGAGGTCTTGCCTCAAACCCGTGCCTATATTGAAGTCATAATTTCCTGACATTCCAACTTCGACAAATGTCTCACTGAAAATTTCAGTGATGCACTTACAGCAATAGTTTGACAAAGAACTAAATTTCTATCCTACAAATAAAAAATATCAACGGCAAAGGAAAAAAAGAATATAATCATATGGACAAGCTTGCTCACATCGTATGCATTGAAATAATCTCTTCTCTGCATCCTGTTCTGTTTTATTACACAACATTTCAATTGTGTATACTATCATAACTTCTATCCATGCTACTCTAGAAAATAACTAGGTTGTATAACAATATTATAATACAGTTCAGAACAAATATCTTATGGTACAAGTATCATTTCTTTTTCCCTTTTCCTTGTTGTCCTCCACGTGGTGGGGTTACTGGTCGGCCGGAGTTCAACCCTCCATAGGGGAACTTCTTCTTGTCGGCAGGTTTTAGAATCTGTCAAGTTAAAATTAGCCAAAATATGTAAATAGCAGATATCACATGTCAGTGTGCAAATCTGCTGTAATGTCTTTATATGATGAATAACAAATGATAAGAGGGCTTAAAAACTGTGTAATGAAAATATTATTATTAGGCTATCTGATAAAGCACAGTGTAAAAAATTAAACATAAACAAAGACACCAACAAAAGAAAAATCTTCACCTGAAATGAACACATAAGGGTTTCGTCCACACTCATCATGGCTCCAGCATTATCAAATTCTCCACAGTAATTTGGAGCTGAAAACAAGGTTACCAACTGCCGCTTAGCAAAGAACTCATATCCATCTTCCACAACCTGTTATAATTAAAAAAAAAAAATGACATGAAATGAAGTGTTACACAAACTTAATCATACACTTGCAATGATTGTAAAATTTCAAGTAACAATGCAGACATAATTACTCAGGCACTGCCAAAGGTTTATGCAGAAGGAATTCCTTGAGGAACTCTTCAGAGGATGAAGTGGCTGCCATCAAACAGGACTTGTTAAAAATCCTCCAACCTTCCCATAATATATGAAACCAATGGCTTCTACAATAACCTACTACACTTGAGTTAACTCTATCCCATTCACTCCCAGATCTCGTTAATAGTTCTCCTTACTGTCCTGTCATGCAATTTTTGTGATGTTGGTTCAGAGAATTTGGCAATGGATTGACTTTCAATACCCTTACTAATATTTCTCTTTGCTCTCATCATGTTTCTGCTTGCATTAATATTTTATGGAGAATTTTTGTCTTGGTCACTCATGGTAGTTAAAGGGTTAACCATCACCAAAATGGAAGGAATTAGCTAACACTAATAAGTACAGGTAAAGATGAAGAAAACTGAAATTAATTGCACACAAACAACTTTCAAAATCAATGCTACATTTCAAGATGTACAGAGTACAAGATAAATGCTAAATATAATTCATAATTATAAAGATAGCAATAACAGTAATTGGATTTTAGCAAGACATCCTTGCAGTTGCTTTGGTCCACTATTTCCTGGTCAATTTGAAGGGTTGGTTTCTAAAAAGGGAGCAGAACCAGAAGACCAGGAGGGAAAAAAAGGGTGGGCAAGGATAAAAATCAACAACAAACCCAACCCACAAGTGACCTTGGATCAGGGATTGAACCAACACACTGTGGTAAGAGGTAAGTTGTCTCATTACTACACAATCCACCCTACTGTATCTTAAGGGAAGATGATTTTAATCTTGTAATGAGCAGCAAAGAAAAAATTCTGAGTTCCTATGAGGAATCAAACCTCAGACCTTCTGATTATGCAATCCAACTCTCTTCTGCTGAGCACAGAGACTATATGGTGAGCAAGGTCATTACAAAGTTCATACATAATAAGTGCCCTGTATACTGCTGCAGCACTGAGTTGGAAGGTTTGAGGTTTTGATTCCTCATGAAGACTCAGAATTTTTTCGGTGTTCAACTCTGATGGCAAGACCAAAAACATCTCTCTTTTCTTTATCAAATTTACCATCTTTATTATTCTATTTAATTTAACTCTATTCTGTACACACCTGGTGAGCTCGACAAATAAGATCCAGATCATGTTTGGCAAGGAATTTAGATACAATATCTGGACCAAAGGTAAAGGAAACCCCTCTGTCATTTTCACCCCATCCTTGGACATCCTTGTCTGGATCTGACCACAGCAGGTCACATAATAATCCTAAAAAATGAGAAAATTTGACCCATTACTTAATGTTACTTCAAATTGGATAAGTCCACTCAAAATTAAGTAAGTTTCTCATTCTAAAGGTGTTGGGTGAACAATTTATCTTTCAATCTTAAATGACTTTTTTAGACAACACTACAATGATCGAACCCTTTCAATGCCCCAAGGATGTACTGTGTATGTCTTACATCAGATTACAAATGCTATGAGGACAAACTCAGTGATTCCTAAGTTACAGTACTTCACTGAATACTACCGTACATAGCAAAAACAATGAAACTGCTATAATTAAACTTATGAGGGCCTAGTAAAGACTTGTACATTAGTTTTCAGATACACGACCAAAAACCTACAAAATTTGTTTTTGTTATCCAGTGAAAATTATTCACCATCTTGAATTTTCCTTTTTGTTTTTTTGATGAGCTGTGTGATTGCTTCATCTTTTTTTTCCAGTCAAACATTACAAACAAGAAGTGGATACACAGTTATGGATGTGCTAAATAAACTAAGTAATCATTCTGGCAACGAGGAAGACATTTCTGGGCGATAAATTTGATGAGTAAAGTGATGAAGATTTAACAATTACTTACTCCAGAAAGGTGAAAAATGTTGACTTTTATCAGAATTTTCAAGGACTGCACGAACATTGATCTCAATATAACAATACAATGCAGTTTGCCATACAATCACCTGCCAAATAACTTAGCAAATGATTACATCAGCAACTACATCTTATTTGTTTTGTCTTCACAAATATCAAAAAAATTGCAAAGACACCATCTCAAAAACAGTTTTTCAGTATTACAATCACGTCATATCAGATGATTGTGGTAAGATGTGATAAATACACTCAACCAATCTAACGCATGAAATCACTTTGTAATCATTGGAAAAACAATATGTACTAATGTAAAATAATGTCACACTATAGAGAAAGAGTCCTGAGGTGTAATCCAATCTAACCCATGAAATCACTTTGTTATCATTGGAAAATAATATATACTAATATAAAATAATGGTGCTCTTTAGAGACAGAGCCCTGAGGTGTAATCCCTTAAAATCTTTATAAAAACTTCTAAATTTGACTAAAACCCAAGAAATGCAGGATAAGATTAACAAAAAGATTACAAAATAATTTTATCCGCAATAACATGAATTCATGAGTGTAAGGAAACTTTTACACGACTACCTTAAATTTCTTGAATTGTGAAATTTTTTCCACACGCAGGAGACGGAATCTCGCTATTGTTTTTACTACATTTTTAAAAGTGAAAGATGTCAAACTTCTTATCAATAATTCAAATTGTTTAAGACAGAGCGAGTCGAAGCGAAACAATCCCTCACAATTTACACAGTCTCTATGCTAGACGTTAATACTAAAACGTGATGACAGCTTCGAAACAATTCTATGAATTTCCTTTATCAATGTAGAGACCTTCACGGTTGAGGTACCCTTTCAACAAGAACTAATTGGATAGTAACGAGAAAGTTCCTGTCTTTTCCGTTTCTGACAACCATCGAAACAAAAAGTTCCATTTTAAAAATATGGCTTAAAGTTACGACGGGTTTATCTCCAGCCATTAAATTAGTCACAAATTACGCCATAAATGGCGCATATTGAGATTTGCATTTCGCTTTACCTTGGTCAGGGACATCGGTCGGCCTCATAATGCGGCGAATTTGTTCCATAGATTGCAGATCGGGCGATAAACCTGGATCGAAACCATGAAAACATTTATATATCTTTTGCCTTTGTCTGTACATATTCAAATTATAGTAGCCACCAAACAAACATCAAGAAGAAATCTGTAACTCGTAATCGGCGAAACTTTGAACAGAATTCAGAACGTAAGAGAGAAAGCATACCTCCGTGACAGCAAAATATCTTCTCGTCCAAAATCGCAGCAACAGGAAGGCAGTTGAAGCAATCCGTAAAAGTTTTCCACAACTTAATGTTGTATCTTCTTTTACCTGCAGCAAAGAAGACGCGAAGCTAAATTCTATTATTCATACACGCGAGACGAAAGCTTCGTAATTCAATCACTGAACTCGGAGTTCAAACAGGCGTAATGACATTGAAGAAATCCTAACTTTCAAACTTTAACGACCGACAGTCACACTCGAAAATGCATAACCTGTTTACTTACATTCGTCATAAAAGCCATAAATGCGGTTTATACTCGCACATTCGTGATTTCCACGAAGGAGAAAGAAGTTTTCCGGATACTTGATTTTATAAGCTAGAAGCAAACATATCGTCTCCAACGACTGTTTTCCTCGATCAACGTAATCTCCCAAAAAGAGATAATTTGATTCTGGTGGAAAACCGCCGTACTCAAACAGTCTAAGGAGATCATAGTACTGTCCATGAATGTCTCCTGCAATAAATAAGAATCGTAGTTTAAGTTTAGTAGAACTAAACACAGATGCGGAAAGTTTGGGCGTAGAACATTTCAACGGCACCGCCGACAGTCACTCACCACAAATCTTGAGAGGAGCTTCGAGTTCTAGAAGAATTGGCTGACTCAAAAAGATTTCTCTTGATTTGATGCACAGCCCTCGGATTTCTCCCTCTGTAAGCTGTACATTCTTTCCTGGTCTTGAGCCACGCACTGAAATTCAAGAGAGAAATTTAGACCCTGCAAATTTTAGAATGAATACCGATTGTAACATCTCGAAGGAGCAAACCTTCCAAAAGTCGCTGAATAATACTGTCGACATTAAGCTTTTCACCATCAGCCATAACCTATAGAGCTTTTCCTATCTTTAAAATAACTTATTTTAGCAAAAATGTTTAGTTAACAAGTGGATAGAAAGCTCGATGGATCTAGATTCTACAAACTACACAATTCAATATCAAGATGGCGCCCAAAGAGACTCCGCTGGCGGTTTCTTCTGGTATGACGTCAAAGGCGGTATTGAAAAGGAGGGCGCTATTAATTGTACAAAGTAACTATGGACTGGACTTGGGAAAATGCCCAGATAGGTAAAACCAACAACAACAACAAAAACAGGTGTTATGCTCAAAAGCCAACCATTGTGCATATTTTGAAGTGAAAGATCGTTATCTGGCAAATTTAGAGCCAGAAACGATGGATTAGTAATTTACAGTAAGATTTCACAGAAATATAGGAAAAAAAGACAAACAAAAGTAATCAAATATTCACTACGAAAGGAAGAGTTTCTCATTGCCAATGTTTTGTCTGGCGTCAATTCGGAATCCCTCAATAATTTTCTTTATTTTCGATGTATAAATAACAATCCAATTCGCTAAAATATCCAAATTATGCCACTTAAAAGTATTGCCATCAATTGTGGTCACATGGTGGACAATATCTATCCCCGCGCAGTAAACGTAAATACACGATATTAACACCGTTTTCAAGAAACAACACCCCTAAAATGACGACGTTAAACAATTTTTTCGAAAGGAAACAGTTACACTTCTATCTCTTCCTCGTATAAGGTTCGAAAACGAGAAAATAGTTAAACAGCTACGTCGCGCCGATAGTAGGCTGAAGTCTTCCGGATGAGTGAAGAAAGAGACGGCCTTGTTGGAAACGAATACAAACTCTATTTCAGTCTAATTTTATAAGTTCACCTCGAAATAAAAAAATAAAAAAAATAAAAAAAAGTGTGATTCTTTGGTAAGCTATTTATCGATACATATTTCTGTTGAAGGCTCGGCAGCACAGTCACACTGTGCTGCCGAGCCTTTTCAAAACTTCACCGGTTTTAAATCTTCGTCATTTTCTCGTTCTCGACAAAAAAGTACGTTTTGCTGCTCTGTTAAGATGTCGACAGTTGGAGGACTGGCCAGACTGTTCATTTCAAGGTCCACACGACTACTTGCGGGTAGGAATGTAGCGAATAGCCCTATAGTCTCTTGTAGATCCAGGTCTATATTTGCAGCAACTACACGTGGTGCCTCTCAGAAACCAAGAATCCTCCCTGTTTCATGTGCTTGCTCACAAGTTTGCGTTTGTCAGATGCACAAACACACTCAAGGTAAGGATCTAGAACTTCACTAAAGAAGTAAATGACAAGTCCATGGGCGTTCGTTTAATTAATTGAACAAGACATGTGTCTGATCAATGTGTAAGCTCAGATGACTAATGTTAACTGTAAGTAGATTTACACTTTTATGAAACACTGGATATTTGATAATGATACTCACAAGGAGTAGATTTACCTATGATGCCATAATTTATTATGCTAACAGTTCTCCAAGCTAAGGAGCTACGGCATTGTTCTAGGTAAGAGGGGCTTACAGTGCAGACCAAGAAAACAAGGTTTTCTTGGTTTATTATCTCTTTCATTTCTATCTACAAACATTACGCTATCAACATTGCTGATCCTAGCAGTATGCAGGATGCATGTAAAATGAACTTCGTGATAGACCTAACCCACTGTGGAGTCTCTGTGGCTCAGTGGTAGAGCATCAGAGTGCGGAATCTGAAGGTCTGGGGTGTGGTTCCTCATGAGGATTCAGAATTTTTTTGGTCCCACACTAGTGACAAGATGAAAAAACATCTTTCTCCATTTCTTTACTGAGCTCAAAACCTACCATCTCCCTTATTTCTATGTACAAACATTATGCTTATGGACATTGCTAATCCTAGCAGTATGCAAGACACATGTCATATGAACTTCCTGATAGACTTTGCTCACAATGTAGTTTCTTGTGGCTCATTTGTAGAGCATCGCAGCACGGAATCTGAAGGTTTGAGGTTCAATTCCTCATGGGGACTTGGAATTTTTTCTTTGTCCCACGCTTGTGACAAGACAGAAAAACATCTTTCTCTATTTTTTTACCGAGCTCAAAGCTTACCATCCCTCTTATTTTTGTCTACAAACCTTAGGCTGTGGACATTGCTGATCCTAGCAGTATGCAGGATGCATGTCATATGAACTTCATGATAGACCTTGTAAAACCTATCATTTCTCTTATTTCTATCTAAAACAAGGTTTGTAAGATATTTGATATTTGGATATCATTCAGTAGTAGCAGTATGCTGGATGCTTCTCAAATATTAACGTAGTAAAAGATAGAACAATAGAGTGCAAAATCTGACACTGGTTACTAACTGCAAAACATCTGTAGCTGATTACTTTTTATTGTTCTTTCTCTGCCAGCTGACAGTGAAATAATCAAATTCCTGAAAGGTGAGATACAGAGTGAAAGAGATGCTGCCCCCAAGGTTCCAATGTCAGAATTGTTTAAGGTGAGGTCCTGTCTTTGAATTGTATTTTTGTTTGCAATGAGAACTAATTCTGGTAACAATATTCTGGACCAAAAGAAAATGAACAATCATGCTGCCCAAACTTTTGTGTTTGAAGCAATCTCCAGTTGGTGGTATTGCAAATCTGTCTTGCAGTAGTCTATTTGATTTTTGATAACTGTCTATTTTTTTTCTCTTCAAATAGGCTGCATTGGATGGAACACATGTTAAATTAGAGAGGGAACACAATGCAGAAAGGTCTGCTGGACTTCATTTTTATAACTAATCAAATTGAAAATGACCTATGTTGTCAAGATTCTTAATTAATTCATATAATAAAAGACCTCCCACATTAACTTGTATTGGCAAATTATTAAAGGGGTGCAAATAAAGAATCTTCACATGCAGTTGTAAAGAGTTCTCAAAAGCTCAAGTATGTAAAACAGTCCAAACATGTTCCATGATTATCTTCTTCACTCCAGATGGGTCAGAGTTAAGCAAAATTTGAATACTTGAAAACTCAGATGTCAGCATTGATTTATAATTATATATTTAATACTTTATTTCAGGATTGTAGTGTCATTTGACATTAATGAAAATACAAACCATGATGAAGCAAGTTTTAATGACTCAGATGATGAAGGTGAAGTGGCTGGAAAGGTAATGGTGAACTTAAATCTGATATTTTCCTGTTCTCTTTTGAAAAACTTACTCTGTAATTATTTGTATTTTGCAGATTGTTTCATATCCTTTATTTACTGTGGAAATTGTAAAGAAAGCTGTAAGTTGAGAGAAAAATGATTGTATTTCTTGTTTTTTACAGAAGTGTTGTTACTTTACAGGAGTGTTGTTATTTAACCCACATACAAACTATGAGCATTCCATTGAAACAAGTTATTCAGCAGATGAATTGAAATATCAAATTAAGCCTTGATTCAACCAGTCCTTTACCAAAACTCCTCAAATGCTAGCCCTTAATAAACCATACCTTCTCCTGCTTGCATCTCCTGTCATCTTATCCTCTGTGGTATACTTTTTCATTTGATAACAAGCATAATTTTTTAATCTTCCTTTCTTCAGCAGATGAATTTTTAAGTGAATTATTGTTATTAAAATCAACTTTACAACAATGGGCAGGAAACACCAGATCTCTGCTCTGAATCCTCCAGTGTAATGAAATGGATAAATTTTTGGATACTCTTATAAGCCACTGAAAACTAGAAAAATTTTTAGTTGGTGTAAGAATTCAAACTTTCCCTATAGATGTAACATGCAGTCAATTTATTTATTTATTTTTTGATTTTAGGGTAAAACACTACAATTCTACTGTGAGTTTAACACCCAACTTGAAGAGGAACACTCTGAGGAAGAGGAGGGCCCTGATTTGTTTTATATTGTCAATGTCGCTGTTGTAGATGGTACCAGCAAAGGGAAGACTTCCTATTGTGCAGAAACCGAAAACATGGATGGTGTAAGGAATTTTTTAATTTGAGTTTTAAATTTGTAACATATGCCATGAATGGTACATGACAGGGAATGATTGCTTGAGTGTAGAAAATCTGGTAAATTTAGTGTATGATCTTGGTCTATCCATTTGGTAAATCTGTTTTCTTAAAAGCTGAAGTGCAATTCATGGTATTTCTTCCAATATGCACTCAATTTTGTTTTGAACAGGATCTTTATGGCATGCTACTTAAGATGTTGGCTGAAAGAGGAATTGACAACCACTTTGCTGCATGGCTGCGTGACTATAGCACAGCTATGGAACAACAACATTATATCAAGTTTCTTGAAGATTTGCAAGGATTTGTCAAACTTCAGTAATGAGAACCAGAAATAGTTTTAAAATGAAAGATCTCCTCAACTACTTCTCCTGCTGATGGATCCTTTGTCAAATTTGGTACAACTGTTCACAGGCAGGCTGTGTGCTACTGTTATTACAAGATGCTAAGATTTGGATGATTTCAAGCTTGCATTTACATCAGCAGGACTAGTTGGGAAAAAAGAAACCATGCCGCAGCTTGCATAACAAAAATGCTGCAACCTAGACTTCTAACCATTGTGGTAGCAGCATACTGACTTTTTCAAATAGGAACACTGTTTTAACAAACAAAATTCTGTGGTGTTTTTAGTGAGTTGATGTAGGTGTTGTTTATTGGATATCTATAAATATCTGTCATGTAAGAAATGTTCAAGGACTTAAAATAACAGGTAAAAATTAACCCTCAATACTATGTGATTTAAAAAAAGACAAATCTCTTTCAACTTGAGAGGGTGTTATCATGGCATATTGAATAAAGTTCCAGCACTTACTTTTGGTTACATACAGTTGAGTAACATTGCAATTCAGTTTACATTTAAGAAGCTCATCTTTAAACCTAAACTCCTGTATTCATGGCAGTAATAAAGTTCCCACTAGCTTGTTTTTCCAAGGGCATTACCTGAAGTTTTGCCGACAGCATGATTGCTGGTAATAAGTAGATTAGCTATTTCAGAAACCACCAGCCATAAATTTGTTTTAATAGTCAATCTTTTTTTCCATGGTCTGTCATCCATTTGAAACAAATTAAAGTCAGACTAGAAACATGACTCTTGTATCGTATTCATGCATCTTGCATAACAGTTCACTTAAACTGTTGTAGTTTCCACTTTTCAAAGCCTGTCTACTGTCAGTGAATGAATAGCTTGGAAAAGGAGATGGCAGCTAAAGGAGATCACTCTTTGATCTTTGCCATTTGTCAACTTCTAAAGTTACTTTCCTCCTATAACAAAGTGTGGCTCATTCCCTTCCTCCTGATCATCATCATCATCATCATCACTGCTACTGGCACGATTTTTACTATCATGGCCTGAAAAATGAAATAACAATTGATAAAAAGCACTCTACTCAGCTCTTTTGTGCTTTTTAGAGCTGAGACTGTGTACTAATTTGCCATCAAGTCACTTACCATCCTTTTCTTTCACATCTTCTTTTTTCCTTTTTGCATTTAACTTTTTCTGTTTCTTTTTTTGCCTGTAGGAAAACAAAATGCACAAATATCTGTGGCTGGTGATGCACTTAAGCTTATCAAGCACAGCTTTTCTCAGCAGTCCCATTGATTAAACATAATTTCATTTTAATGCTGGTCTAAGTTTCTAAAAATTTTTTTTTTCTATAGCATTGAATGCATATCCATCAGGAAATGTTGTTAAGATAGAATAAAATACAAGTGACTGAGGGCCTGTTGTGCCTACTAACAGTAACATACAAATTGTCATACTTGCTACTGTTTTGTTGATCAAGATTAAAATGTGCACATTCATATTTGAAGCAGGAAATCAATTATGTTTTCTTAAAGAAAATAAGTGTTTGTCTTTGAAAGGGGAGAACCGTTCACCTCTTGGCTCTTTTCTTTGCTGTTTTTTCATCTGCCTTGTTTTGGTTTTCTTCAAGCTTTTTATGAAAACTTTCATCAAGTTCATGCTAAAAATAATAACATCTGTCAAGGACTAAATATACACTGCAAACAAGTTGAAATTATCATCAGTTTAAGATGACAAACAGCATACCAGAGAAAAGACAATCTTCAACAAAATTAACCACATTAATTAAGAAACGTGCAATTTTCTTGATTAATTTGATCTATTTCACCAATATGAAAAACTGCAACTATTTAACCCTTTAACCCCTAAATGTGACTAACACATAATTTCTCCTTACAATATCACCGCAGAATCACACATTAAGGTCACAAGAATAAAGGAAATGATCACCAGCCAAAGAAGCTGTAGATTGTTACACAAATTCTCCTTATCAGCACCTTAGGGCATTTGTAGAGAACAGTATGGAGAATATGCATGATGATGTTAGGGTGTAAAGGATTAATGTCTTCTTGTACCTCTTCTGCTTTCTTTTCAATGTATGCTGTTCGGTTGTATTCTCTTCTTCTTGTTGCACGATAAACATGAAATTCTCCACTACCAGCCCCAGCACTTGAACCTTGCATGACAAAATGAAAGAGCAACTTTCTCTTACTTTTTAAAACATAAAAAAAAATCCAAGCACACTTGCAGATCCTTTAAGAACTGCTAAATACCAGAAAAAGTTCTGTTGGTAGCTAAATAAAACCTCAATGATCTATGAAGTTTTTCAATGAATATTTTAAAAATAAAGAAATACCTTATAATTCCTAACCCCTCCTGAGAAAAATACATTAATCTGAAACTCATAAAGTAAATGAGTAAAAATGAAATCCTTAGGCATTCATTTTTTGTTTGGAACTTTCGGAAAACTCCTAAGGAACTACATGTCATTGGCCTCCAACCACTTTGATAAGAACACAACTCCCTTAGAGGAGGAAGGCAAGAAAACGGCACATTCCAGTCTTGGGGAAAGCTTCGTGTGAAATCCCAAAGAACGGAAAAGACAACTTGTCTGCAGTCTTTTTGTATCATTGATCATGATACGTAAACTGATAAGCAGTTTTAAAATTAGTGATTAAACCTTACCCATTACAAATCGAATAAATTCAGGTGCATCTGATGGTTTCCATTCCTTTGGTCGATCAGGAATTGAAACGGTTTTATCCTGCAAAGCATGACGTGAGTTCACAGTTTAACTCGGTAATACCATTATAGAAACTTATCTGGTGTTTCTAACCTTTATGGCCTCGCTTTAAAAAACTACAACTCACAGGATCTTTCAAAAGCTTCTCTAACTTCATCCTCTGTATTTCGGTCGGATTACGAGGAACAACTGGTTTCTCAGTAGATGTAATTTTCTTTACTTTTGAACCACTCTCGTCCGCCATCTTTGTTTCTTCTTGCATGCACTGCTGTACAGCGCTGTGCTCTCAAACCAAAACTACGTTGTGTAATGGTACTCAAACTTGACAGGGTGAAAAGCATGGACGGGCGATGTGCGACAGTTTTTGCAGCCGCTGCGGCAATAGGAGCTAGTTTTTACGTATTTTTGGCTCCTGATGGCAAGGAAAAGAAAAAATCCAGGCGGGGTAAATACTAGTTACTTCCTTAACCATTTAACCGAGATCGAAAACACGTCACAAAGCATCTATATCAAACATCAGCTGAGTTGAAATTAGTTGATCCAGTCGATCAGTCGATTGATCTTTGTAACTGAGTGATAATTTTTTGAGAAAGATGGGATGCCTCTTTCTTTAAAAAACGTGTGTACCAAGAGTAAAGAAGCTTTTGATGTCAAATTACCTCGATGTTTGAGCTACTTTGCTCGTAAATTCAGTTTGAGAATGAGCTTCAGTTAAGAAACTTGATCAATGACTGGCGTTATAACTATTATGACGTTTGTCCAAAATAATTATATGAATAGAGAAAAAGCAATATTAGAACTGCTTCTATTTTAAAGTGTAAACTACATGCCTCAAAAATGTTGATATAAAAGAGGTAAACATCTTACCAGAATTTTGATGTATATGTTGTAGTGATGTCCATAATTGTTACTTTGCTGTTATATCAACAGATCGCCCTCCAGGTCTTGTCAATCTTGGCAATACTTGTTTTATGAATTCTATATTACAGGTTTGTATTTATAAATCTGGATTTCAAGCCTAGACAGATATCAGGTGGAGTGACATCTAGTTATAAAGGGGATATTTTTTTATAAAGATGGTGTGGACTGCCATCTTTTTATGGTGGAGAACTTGCATCGCTAATTTAAAAGTTCTATTTAAATATTACTGAGTAGTCTCCTGTTCAACTTATGGTTCTTTTTATCTCAAGGGAATTGCATTCTTACCATCATTTGTGGCATGGTTAGAAGATTTTTCTGTTGATGATGATGGAAAAACTTTCTCAAGTTTAGGAAAAGAGTTGAGAACACTAGTTACTGGTTTGTACAGCGTTTTATTGTTAGTTGTTGTATAACTTTTTTTAATATCTTTATGATCAGTCCTCATAATATGTATATTTTATTTGTAGCTCTAAACAATGGTTGTTTTGAAGGAGATGATGTCATTAATCCTGATTTTGTATTAAATGCTCTTGGGTCACATGGTTGGGTCATACCTACAGACCAGCAGGTAAGCGAATAAACCACAGTGCCTTATTTAGAGAGAGGATCTCCCATCCCCCTCCCTCTCATTAGACCTGTGAGGCTTTTTCACTATTTGTCTAATGAAAACATTCCTGCGAGGACAGGATTGCATCTTACTACTCACCTGAATTCCACCTTTTAAAAAATTCTTAAACAGTACTATGGGTGTTCCACAGAGATTCTTTTTTTGTTGTTTAATTTTTTTTTTAAATTGACACCACATGATACTCTTTCCTTTATTAGGATGCCCATGAGTTCTTCCATGTACTTTCTTCAACTCTTAATGATGAAATGGTGAGAATAACATCCTCTTGTACCGGCTATGAATTATTTCACAAATTTAATTGTGTTTTGTTAAGTAGTCATTGCTCTGTCATATTAATTTTAATTATTGTATAAGTGATTATCCAAGGTACCCTCTTTATAATTAGACAGTCAATTTTCAGTATTGAGCATTCATTTCACAGGGGGATCTTCCCAATGTGATGGACCTCAGTGATATTGCGATTATAGAAGTAAGTGATGAGTGAATTTTGAAACTTAATGCTGCTGTTTGTAAGCTTTTTGAAGTGCTCTGCTCTATAACTTTGTTATAGATGTTGAAATTGGTTATTGCTAGCAAAACATGTTTTTTCCAGATTGAAGGTGTGCACCCTCTTCACTCCAACCTTGTAGTATACTGAGCATATAGTAAAAGTGCTCTGCACTGATATTATTGATATCACTGTGGGACTACTGAATGCAGGGCGTGAAATTAATTTTTTTTTTCTGATAGCCATTTGGCTCCTAAATTCATCAAAGTGGTAGCCAATTTAAAAAAAGTTGGTTGCCATTTTGAAAGACAAACAAAACCTTTTTTTTACACTGTCATCATTCTAGAAATTAAGTTAGGGAAAAGATCTTTAACATGCTACAAAGGGGACACTAGGATGGATGATATGCAATGTTTAAGCTCACCTAAATCCAAGATGGCGTCTAGTTATCGATCGAGATGCATCTGCTGTGTTTTGGAAACAAACTTAACAAGGAAGTTTGCCACGGATTTGTCTTTGCAAATCTTTTTAATTCACTATATCTCTAGGTAAGGCTATGATGAAACATTCTAGTTGCCAATTTGGCGACTAATTTTCAGGATTTGGTTGCCAAAGGGAAAAATTTAGTCACGTTGGCGCCTGTATTAGGCACAATTTCACGCCCTGGAATGCTGTAAATGTTCTTTAATCGAGGAACATGATTGTACCAGCTTATTAGATGCTTGACTGATAAATAAAGACAGAATACAGAAGCAATTAGAGAGTGAATGTCTGAACTAAATGAATACACAACAACCCTCATGGCCTTCTTGACCAGAGCTAACCTTATTTTCTGTAGCATAAAGCTAGGTTTACATAGAGTGCCATCTCTTTCTAAGGGTGGGATGCTAGTCCATTACAAGTTAACCCCCCTTCCTCCCCCCCTTTTATTTTATCATCAGGTTTCCCTAACAGTTCTCAGTACCTATTTATACTCCCAGGCGAAGGGGGGTGGGGGGGGGTGCTGTGAGGGTAGAGTGTCTCACCTTAGAATAAAACTTGATGACCTAGCAAGGTCGTGAACCTTTTTCTTTTGACTTGGAGTAAAGTATTCTACATATTAGGCCACTGCATTTCTTGCTATTGTTTTGTGTAGTAAGTGCCTACCACTCTTCCTGTGCAGAAAACTGATGATTCCATTGACGACAACAAATCCATGGTACACAGAAACAAAGGTATTTAATTTTATGTTTTTGTTTCACTCAATTAAAGAGTTTTGTGCTATTTGGTGTTTTGAAAACAATAATGCTGTGTAAATGTTGGTGGGCCCAAGGATGATTCATCAGCATGAATTTGCTCATTTTCCTCTCTAAATGTAGATGCATGTATTTAAAATCTCTCCTGAACTCTGATGTTTATTTGCTTTTAGTCCCTCTTAGTAGAAAATGTAAAAAACTTCATTTACCATTTCATGGCTTGTTGGCAAGTCAGTTGGTGTGTAAGCAGTGTGCTACCAAGGTAAATGACTCATTTATAATTTTTCCCACCAAACTGAGGTAGCAATTGTTTGATAACTACTGTGCTATTGATATTTTCACTTATGTAGCCGTTAATATATTTTCTTTTATTTTCTAATGTGATGCTCATTGTCACTTTATACTATGGTAACCTTGTTTAAAAGGTGTTCTGTGACTTACGTTTTGTTAACCATGCTCTGAGTCACCTCTAAAACTTTACTAGACGTTGACAATCAATGGACTATTCACTACTTCTTTGTATTTTAATAATTGTTCTGTGTTTTTACAGTGTCCCGTCAAGTTTGACAGTTATGACAGCCTGTCACTTAGTCTACCAACAACTTTCCAGGTATCATAGCTTAACCCTTCAACTCTCAAGATCTGATTGTCTGATTGTCTGATTGTCAGTTCTCCCAGTCTCTAGCTGCCACAGTATTTATGATGATTTGGTGTTAGACCAAGATAACAACTTCTGCCTGCATTCTTTTTTCTAGCTTGTTAGTTTTGCTTCATCTCCACTCTTCATTTGCACATCCCAGTTTGTTGACATTCATTATTATCATATCTACATGTCCACTTTATTGTGATCATTTTTTTGCCTCAAAACAAATTAGTAGCAGTATTTATGAGCAGTGAAGCAAATGACCTTTTCCTCTCTCACTGCTGACCAAAAGCACTTCTGTGTCGTTCATTCTTTCAACTACACAGTCTTACGATTGCTCTGTAATTCTGTTACAGAAGGGCTTGAGATTAGAGGATCTTCTGCGCAGATTTGTGTGTTCAGAGACAGTGGATGCTGTGGAATGTCATGGATGTCAACAGCGACAAAACACAGATGACTCGACCAGCTCTATTCGCACGACTTTTATTAAGCGACTTACTCTTGGAAAAGTAACTTTGCATCATTTTGCTTTTGATTATTAACCCTTCAACCCAAAAGAGTGACCAACTATTAGTTTCTCCTCACAGTATCACCACTGAATCAAACATTAAGGTCATGAGAAGAAAGTGAATGATCATTAGCTTGACAAATTCTCCTTGTCATTATCATAGGAAATGCATTGTGAACACTGTGGAGAATATGCACACTGATAACTAGGATGCAGAGGGTTAAGTACTAACTTACAAATATCGATTTTGTCTCGCTGGGAATGGCAAAATCAGCTAAAGCAGCTTTTTTGATGCCTTCTTCTAACACTTTTTTTCTTGTCAATTTTTAAGCTACCACAATGTCTCTGCTTCCACATTCAGAGGACATATTGGCATTCTAATGGGATTCCATTCAAAAATAACTCATTCATCAAGTTTCCAGAGTTCCTTAACATGAAGCCCTTTTTATATGAGCCCTTAGACTCAGACAACTTTCCCAAAAAAGACCAAGGGAAGGAACATCCCAGTAAGAAGTTGGGTTCCCTGACAAATGGAGGCCTTCAACTTTCGGCAGCCAATGGAGGATATTTTAATGATTATTTGGATGAACTGGTTACGTCCTTTGCAAATGCAGGCAAAAAGAGGTAAATTGAAAATAATTTTTTTAAAAAATTCCATTAGCTCTTTTCAACTGATTTTTTTTCTTTTGTTAACCATTTAACTCCTAAGAGTGATTAGCATCTAATTTCTCCTGACAATTTCACACCTGAAACAAAAATCAAGGTAAAGAGAATAAAGGGAATGATCACCCACAAAGAAGCTCTTGATTGCTACATTATTTCTCTTTGTCAGCACCTTAGGAAATGTCTAGGGAGGGTATAGAGAGTGAAAGAAAGTTTATGCTCTTTACTCTCCATTTTTCATCATCAATTGTTTGCTTTTTCTTTGTTTAGGACACTAGCTGAATAATATTTTAATACTTCTTTTCAGTAATCCACTTGCATTGAGTGTAATTCATTACAATAAAATTGGTAGTCTAGGTGTATGTACTTTTGACACTCAGAACAGATTGAAAGGGCAAAGGCATTTATATCCTCAGGCTATAAGGCTGTCCCAGGTTATCTTGTTCATAATGCACTTTTGACAACTCAGTAGAATTGATCTATGAAACACAGAGTTTTAACCTTTAACACCCAAGCAACAGTATCCTTATTCTCAATACTGTTCTCCATACATTTCATAGAGTGCTGACAAGGAGAATTTGTTCAAAATCAACAGCTTCATTAGTTGGTGATCATTTTATTTATTCTTGCTATCTTGCAAGGAGAAATTAGATGCTAGTCTCTCTTGGGGGACAAATTAGGGTCAAAGAGGGTGAAATGAGATGTATGTGATGCTTACGAGCACTTATTATGAAAGTAATAATGCTGAGAGAGCTTGGAAAACCCTGTTCTCATTGCAAAGGTCAAGAACTGTAATAGCTTTGCTGATAAGAACTTCTTTTTCTTACAGTACAGGCCAGGCAGTTTTCAAGCTGATGGCAGTTATTGTTCATATGGGAACTGTTGATGATGGCCATTATATTACTTATCGCAGATTTGAATTGCCACAGGGCAATGAGCAGGGTTCAAAATGGCTTTACACATCTGATGAACTAGTGGAGGTGACTTCACGAGATCAAGCTTTATCAAGCTGTGCTTACATGCTTTTCTATGAGCGGGCTAATAGGTAGCATGACGATTTCTATCAAAATCAAATGGTGAAATAATTGTTCAGCAATGATGCTGTGCTTCATGCAAGTAAAACACATTTGATCAGAAGGAATAGCCTGAATGCTACCAATATGTCACAAGAAAGAACAAGTTAACATCCTCACTGTGTAGAGTGTAATAACTTTAATGGGTAGACAAGACAATTTGTTATAATATCTAATTACAATCAACAGCTATTTTCAAAGTGTTTCTATGACAAACTATATCCAATATGTTTTAACTACAAACAGCATAACATATAGTTCTAATTCTTCAAAAGGTTTGCAGCAAAAGGTTAAAAAGGAAAGTAGGTTGAATATTAGCATAGTTTGATTGTGGTTTGAGAAGTTCTTGATGAAACTTGGACAAGAGAAGCCTTTTGTTATTTCAACGGTGAAGCCATTGACATGGTAAATTTTCTCCTTAAATTCAGTACACAGATACTTTTTAGGAAATTTTTATCTAGAAAAAATGTAACAAATGGAATGATCTCATCCAAATGAACCTGTGTGCACAAAATTGGCATAAATCTTCAAACATCACATTTCTAAAGGAAAAGTATTTATGTCTTGTTTTGTTGGAAACTTGTTCTATTGTTCTACAAATTAATGCCATACGTTTATGGCAAAAGCAAAAGGTACTGTCCTTTCCAGACACTGGCTTAGACTTCAAATGTCCCACTATGCTTTGGGTGGTATTGCCTCAGCTCCATGCTGTACTCCACCTGGTGCAGTGGCAGAGTACTGGGGTGGAGGATAGTGGCCCATTGGGGCTGCAGCATTCTGTGCAGGATATTGTCCAGGTTGAGCCATAGGGTACTGGACTGGGTAGCCCTCTCCAGTGTACTGAGGGGCAGTGTAGACCACAGTAGACTGGGTACCGGATGGCTGCTGGACTACAACGACTGCTCCTGGCTGCTATAATGAATAGAAATGAAATAGGGAACTGGACATTGTAGTTTCAACGGAGATGCTCATGAGATAAGAACTCCATTAAACCATTACTAACAAAAACAGTCATTAAAGCATGAAGTAAACTGATTAATAGTATTCGCTCTTACGAAGGGCCAACGCCCGAAATGTCAGCTTTGAAACTCTTTACAGTGGCCAATTTACATTATCAACTCATTTAATAGAACCAGATTATTTTGTTATGCTTCCCCACCAACGCAGCACCACAGTTTCCTTAGAAACTTAACCCCTTCATTCTTTTCACGAATAGTATGTCGTCCTTGTGATACCCACAATCCCTCAAATTGCCATGGCTTGTATTCACGGGTGCATGCGGTGCGGCCGCAATTCTTTTGATGCACAAACGCCCAAAGTCACTTGTAGTCTGCAGGACGCGCGTTCTCCGCACGAGAGACGAGACAGGTAAAGGTGTCAGGAGCCTGACATTTTCATTGTACGATCCCTTGCAGAACCCTCACCGCGGCACACGATTTCTCGTGAGTGAAGAAACTTGTCCTGTAGTGCTAATGGTGAGGGTAGTTCGTGGGCTAAGTCAGCGGGGAATGAAATTACTGAGCAAGAGAAAATGATTAAAGATAAACAAATATAGCGATCAAACTTTACTACCTGAGTTCTTGCGCAACATGTTCCCATACATCCCAGAACAGAGCCAGCAAGTGAGATGACGGTACCAAAGGCGGAGAAAATTGTCATTGACAGGAAGAGGCTGTCGATGGCGGTGATCACGTCACATGTTTCCACTGACAAAAGAAAACAGCGAAAATTGCTATCAAAGGATCTAGTAAGTCTCTATGAAACAGTTACAGTCTTTTAAAGGCTAGTGATCAGGTCGGAGGTTCTGCTGGGCTTAATTTTATAGAAATGTACACTAAATAATTGCCTCAACCAAAGAAATCAACCAATAAATGAATTTCACGTATAATTTTTGGCAAACAAGGGATCTGCATTAACTCTTTTGTTACTGTGAAGTGTACCCCAGTCTTACGTTTCTTTTTTAAATAATTTGACACTGTCCCACTGTCCCACTGTCCCACTGTCCATATCCCCCTCCTCCCCCAGGAGAACATTCTCGTCATGTTTAATTGCATTTTGCTGTTTATCATCCTGAATAGAGTGTACTTCTTGATCGGAAGCTTCAAACAAGGTCCTTAACTTGACTGTATGTACCACAGTTTAATTACTTGCGCGGTGCTACTAAATATTTGCTCCTTAACTCTAATTTTAAAACTTCCGTCTCGGAATGCTAATAGATGCTCTCTAAGGATGATGTTCCACAATTGTTGCCGTAGAAATGGTTAGGAATGAACAAACTTATTCTAAGAAAGGATGAGGTCTTGTCTTTTCTTTTGAAGACTTTAAAACGGGTCAAGGTTTGAAGGTCTAAGCGACACACCCATACCCAAGCTTCTTCAAAGTCTTAACCGCTTCCCCTCCACGCCCAGGCAACTCACCCTCAGCCGTTGTGGGTAGACATGAATTTAGAGGGATATCGTCCGTAAATGGAGGTTGTGGCATACGGGAGTTCGTGTAAGACTTTATAAGGAAGTCTTTTCTAACTTATAGAATGTGCGTCAATTTTTGTTTTTCAGCAGAAGGGAGAACATCGCGAAGCGAGCGTGAGGGGTGAGATTCGCGAGGAAAGAGCTCCTGTCGCGCGAGGTGAGACACGCGACAGCCTCGCAAAAATGTCACCCGTCACTTCAAGGATTCTCACGAAGAGGCCGCTGATAGAGTTAAGCTTTCCGCATTCGAGAACGTCCTTGAGCGTCCTTAACTGTTGTTAAGTACTGAATTGTGCGGTACTTACGATCCATGGGAATCCTTTGTCCGTCGGTGGCTCGACAGTGACATCTTCCAGCAAAGGTAGAACAGTCTGTAGCGTTCCTGAACAGACGCCATAAAATATATGCCAAGGCGGCAATAATGGTCTGGATCCCCACAACAATCACCAAGATTATACACGTCACAAGGAAAGCTACCATCTGCAAAGAAAACAACAGACAGTCCTTAAAAAAAATAACAACAACAAGAACAACAACAAAGTAACAAAATTATTGAAAGTGCATAGATGAGTACGTGATATTTCTCCCCTGTTTTTTGCCTTGACTTTCTAACATTTTTAATATCAAATGGTGAAGAGGAGAGGAGCGCTGGTTCGTGCTGATACTAGAGCATTCGTAGGCTTCGAAATAATTCTACAATGTTTCACTTTCTGCCTGTTGAAACAGTTTGATGTGCTAACTGCTGAGTTGAACACGACTCAAACAGTTTGTAGAACAAAAGACAAAATCAGCATGTTTTTTGTTTCTTTGTAGTGGATCAATTCATCTTTTTTAAGTTGATCCTATGATCAAAGTTTGCCTTTACTTCAACACTCAGGGCCGATTATTTACACGAGGTCTGCCCCAAACCGCGGTTTTACACGAATAGTGGACCTTACGTATTTTCTATAAGAGCGTTGTTTCAGTAAATAAATGTCCTTGCACTTCTAGCTTTCGGTCCTCCTGCCAATGTTCACAAAAATTAATACCGGTTCAGTTAAAGATTCAGCTAAATTCAAGATCGTTTAGAACGCAGTTTTGTTAAAAAACGGCTAAATTTGTTAGACAGTGATGTGGCGTTCTATGGCGGTCCTAATGCTCCAAATGGCAAAAACCTTTACTGGAAACCAAATAAGCACAGCCGGGATGCAAAACGAATCGTCAAAAGAACAGAGGCCTATGTGGACAACTTTAAGGATCTCGACGACAATAAAGAGATACATTAAATTTGAATAAAGAAAGAGAGTAATTCTTGTAACAATGTAAGTCGATATTTAAGCTACTTTTCAGTTTTAATGTACTCTTTCTCAAAATTTTTTTATTTGGGCTTACATTGATTACTTTCAAAACTGCTTTTTGTGTAGTTTGTATCGATTTCTACACTTCTACTGAAAATAATTTAATTGATATTAAATGTATTTTGATGAAACTGGAAAAGTAAGAAATTCTTTTCATTCAGTACCATTCTTCTCTCTTGCAGTCTAGCAGTCATACAGATCAAAGAAACAAGAAACAGTCATCGTATTTGATAAAGTGTAAACAATCTCCTGTTACATATTACGAAAATAAAAACATTAATGACACTTACGATACCCTTGTTTCTATAACACCATATGAACAATCCCATTGCAGCGGCCAAGAGTAACTGTAAAAAAAGACAAATGAACAATGAGCGCCCTTCTGAAGTCAAACGTCGCGCTCTTCTGAAGTCAAACTTCGCTTTAATTTGTCAATTCTCCTTAATCGTCTTTATCCTTCATCCTATCCTTTAAGGTGTATTAGCCATCGTAATCCCCTCACTGTCCTGCTAAGGAAGATCGAACTGAAACATCCCCCCACCCTTGGGGAACTCGTATTACTGGGGAGGTTGTCATTTGTGATTTCGTTCCATAAGCCCTGTAAACCCTTATGGAAGTTAGCAAGTCATTTCTCCTTACGTTAGCAAGTCATTTCTCCTTACGTTAGCATCCTTGAATCAAACATCAAGGTCATGAGAATAAAGGAAATGGTCCACAATTTCAAAAGAAGATCTACTCAGCGATTGCTAAACGAGCTCCTCATGTCCTGACTGGCACCAGCGGAAATGTACATAGAACAGTATTAAGAATACATGGATGCTATTTTTAGAGTGAGAATCAGTAGTTATGTTTAATTCTGTTTTTTCTATTCAAGTTCTCTCACTTATCTCTGCGCATGAAACCAGCACATGAAAATCGAGCGAAGTGTCGGATGATAAAAACAAACTTGGTTTAATTCAAAACGGGATGTCTACATTAGAATTGATATCTTGATGTAAATTATTAACCTTATTATTATTAACTCCCATGAGAGACCAAGACAGAATTTCTCCTTACAATATCAATAAAATATCAACCAGATAAGTGATGAAAATAAAGAAAAATATCAATTTGTGGATTAGTCGATCAAATACTATATTCTCTGAACTAACATTATAAGAAATGTATGGTTGACAGTAAGGAGAATGACGAATTTGATGTAGGAGTTAAAGGGTTAACTTGCCGGTAGAGACCTCGTCATTTTGTTCATGTACGTAGAAATGTCAGTAATGAGAGAGCGTTATGTCACCTGTGCAAACGAGTAAGAGAACGTATCCATGCAATGAATACATTAAAAACATTTTGGTAGCGTGCCAAATCTGAAACAGGGCGTTGAACGGCGGCATTCTCTGCCTGATGACGTCAACCCTCCGAATCTTCTCAGAGGATGCATTTCATCAGATCTCTCGCGAG